CAAAGTTGTCATTACAAAGACATTTCATGTACAATGTCCAGTTGAATCTTCATAATTATAAGGAATGTATGGTATATTATTGTTATTCTCTTTTTATATAGGAGGGTCCCAAAAAGTGAGATGAGGATCCTGTGATGATATAAATATTTAGGAAGGAACTGCGAGTAATAAGCTTCTGGCTGAAAAAACCCTAAACTCTACTGTGTATCACAAAAAAATATAAAACCATTATAACTTATTTTTACCAGTCACCGTCCAGGTAAATATTACTTTCATTGGCTGTTCCTTGGAACATGCGATGTTGTTTGGAACATGTTATTAATGCCTTCTCTTTATGAATTGTATCTCTGGTTGCAGAGCTTTCAGACATGACACATCACAGCCTTTAGGACCTTATTATTTGTAACTGAGAAAATAATACTCCTTGCCAGATTATCCGGGATTAATTACAAAACGAAGTGGTCTTTTTTATAGCAAGTGTTTAACAACCATCAGTTCTTTGAAAAACAGATTTCTATATAGGACGACAATCAGACTTCTGGGAACTCTTATTTGCTTATTTTAGTCACCCTTGAAGTCAGGGAGTGCCAGTGTCTGATAGATGTGTATTGCTTTGTTTGAAATGTCAGAGAGTATTCAGTACTAAAGAATTAAGCAAGGTTTTTTTTCTTATATTTTAATTTTAGGGAAGTAGGATGAAGTTGGATACTGTATATGTTTTTAACAACACTTATTTTACTTTAATACAAAAAAGCATAAAGTTGAATACCATATATATAAACATGTATTATATTTTTAATGTAAAATATGTAATCCTGTAATTTAGATAACTCCTAGAATTTTAAGAAAGTAATATATATGCCAGGTGGGGTGTCCTGTGTGGGCCAGCTCTTACCTCAGACCAGGGCGGGACAGTGTCAGGGACCTGGTGCACCTGCACCCTGACACGGTAGATGGAGTGGCCGGGCCCTTTGACCAGTTCCTCAAGGATGTCCTGGGAGAAGCTCTGCAAAGACAGAGCCCAGTGTGGGGCCAGTAAGCATCGGGGTCCTTCCACCCATTCCGTGTTCCTATGTTATGGCAGCCCGGGCAGACTAGTACGAGTCTATGAGGACACAGGGAAGAGGTTCCCCCACACCACTGTTGAAATGGCAATAGAGTGGAATCATATCAAGGTCCTACAGCAATGAAAGGCTGAATCGCTGAGGAAAATGACCTCCAATTCCTCAGGGGCCTGCCTGGGCATTGCCTCTGGGGGAGCTGCCCGCCACAAATTGTGCTTCACAGATCAGGCAGCGAGGGAAGTGTGCAAACAACTCTAGCCCAGGCAAGGAACGAGACGACACGTTGAGGTCTCAGGATTAACAAGTGGGTAGAGGAACTTGGTCCCCAGCACTCACCTTTTCATCCCTCCAGCCATGACTTGGGGCATAAACATGACAGACCTCCCAGGCTTCTGACGCCTAAGCAATGGGATACTGCACAATATGGCTTCCCTGATTCCAAGTTTCCCTCACCACCCCCTGACACACACACACACACACACACACACGCACACGCACACCCAGGATGAGGGGAATGGGGTGTAGGGCTTCCCAAGTGGGTTCACAGCTGGGATCTGGTCTGGATTGTCCTCCCCTGGGCTGCCCTGAGGGTTCCTTTATCCAAATGGCCAGAGGCGTCGCCA